TTACTATGTAAAATCTGAATTTTCTTTAAAATAAAAAACATTTATATTGATTCTGACACTTCTACATCCAACTCACAGGTTTATCATTACTTTGAGAACAAAGATTATTAATTTAACCCTTTTAGAAGGGAAGATATGGTCATTTGTTCTGGGAATGTCATTTTCGAGCCTGAGACCTGAAAAACAGGCTCAGAGTGGAACAGGTTAAAGTCCAAAATCTCTTCCATTTCTGACTCTGGGTCTAGGTCTAGGTCAGGCAATTCTTTAATGTTGTCCTCTGTCTGTGAAACATAAAACAATTATTATTGTGTTGTCTATGTGCAGTGTTTTTTATTAAGAAAACAGAAGTTGAGTTAACTCTGCATCAATGGGTGTGAACAAGTATGCTGTGATCAATTGCATTAAAGATGATTTACTATTTTGATTTATTTTTTGGATAAACTTTAGTAAAGAAACTACTGTAAAGCGTTGAGTATTAGCTTTTTTACAGTCTTCATGAGTGTAATTGTAGACATGTGTGCCACTGAATTGAATTCTTACCTCAGCAAAGGAAGTGTCGCTGTAGTTTTCTCTGTTGCTGGAGATGGAGGTCTGCTCGTTAATATCTTCCTCCTCCTCAGCAAACTCCTGAATGTCCTCTTTGATTTCTTCCTCCACCTCCTCAACAAACTCAAGAATCTCTTCGGTTTCTGACTCTGTCTTATCATCAAAGTTCGCAATCTCGTTGATTTCGGACTGTTTCTCGTCAATGTGCTGTTTATTGAGAGCCTTCAGTTCACTTTGCAGTATTTTGTTCTCATAGGCGAGGTGTTGGTTTCCCTGAGTCAGACGGGCCAGTTCTTCTGCTTCCTTCTTCTGCTGAGAGACAGCAGCCTCGTAGTCCCTCTGCAGTCCCTCAGAAGCCAGGGTCTTCTCAGACAGCTCTTTCTCTTGGCTCTGGATCTTCTTTGAGGCTCTGGAGAAACAAGCCTCCTCCTTCTTAAGGTTCTCCTCCAGTCTGCTGGAAGCTCTTCTGTCGCCCTGAAGCTTCTTCTCTTCAATGTGCTGTTTATTGACAGCAGCCTCCAGTTCACTTTGCAGTCTTTTGTTCTCATAGGTGAGGTGTTGGTTCCCCTGAGTCAGACGGGCCAGTTCTTCTGCTTCCTTCTTCTGCTGAGAGACAGCAGCCTCGTTGTTCATCTGCAGTGAGCTGCTTTTTGTTTGCTCCTCTGCTTTGGCTTTTCTCTCCTCATCCAGGGCTTCCTGAAGGCCAGATGATTTGTCATATCTCTCAGATCTTTCAGAGTCCTCTGTCTGTGAAACATAAAACAATTATTATTGTGTCGTCTATGTGCAGTGTTTTTTATTAAGAAAACAGAAGTGGAGTTAACTCTGCATCAATGGGTGTGAACAAGTATGCTGTGATCAATTGCATTAAAGATGATTTACTATTTTGATTGATTTTTTTGAAAAACTTTAGTAAAGAAACTAAAGCGTTGAGTATTAGCTTTTTTACAGTCTTCATGAGTGTAAGTGTAGACATGTGTGCCACTGAATTGAATTCTTACATCAGCAAAGGAAGTGACGCTGTAGTTTTCTCTGTTGCTGGAGATGGAGGTCTGCTCGTAAATATCTTCCTCCTCCTCCTCAGCAAACTCCTGAATGTCCTCTTTGATTTCTTCCTCCACCTCCTCAACAAACTCAAGAATCTCTTCGGTTTCTGACTCTGTCTTATCATCAAAGTTCGCAATCTCGTTGATTTCAGACTGTTTCTCATCATCAAATTTCGCAATCTCGTTGATTTCGGACTGTTTCTCGTCAATGTGCTGTTTATTGAGAGCCTTCAGTTCACTTTGCAGTATTTTGTTCGCTCTTGAAACACTTTCTTATTATTTATTTTGTAATATTTTCAAGACATTCTTTTTAGTTTTACAGCTTGATGAAACCTTCTTGTTTGAGATCAGCCATTATAGATAATATGGCTATCTGAGTGTGTGTGGTACTGTTTGTGGTTTGTTTTTCACTGTGTTATACAGTTAATTATTCAAAATGTTAGAGTTCCTTATTTTTATACGGAAACTTGTACTGTTCAAAAATAAATAACAACAAACCTGGAATTATGCATTTGGGACTTTTTTTCCGCTTTTTCTTGTTGTACCGAACCCGTACCGAACCGTGACCCCCAAACCGAGGTACATACCGAACCGTGAATTATGTGAACCGTTACACCCCTAAAAGAGAGTAGCGAGTGACACAATTTATAGTTTTAATTTGTACGTCACACCAAGTGTGGGACCCAAAGGACTCGGGTTAATGGAGAGGGGAGACTCGTCACGACCAGCACATTTCTAGGATCCGGGTTAATGATCCGGATGAATCAGGACTCGCCCATCTCTACAACATTGAGAGATGAGAGAGAAGAGAGAAGCGAGAAGAGAGAAGAGAGAGATAGAAAAGAGAGAAGAGAGAGAGAGAGAGATATTTGCGAGTTGCATAAGAACTGGTAAGATAGCAGTTCATAAAGTCAAGTACCCCTCAAAAGGTCTGTTTATTTCATTTTAAGGATGCGCACCAAGCAACATCTCCAGGTGCTCCTTTGAGAACCAGGGCAAAAAAGTTATGTGCACCCCTGGTCATGTGACCTTTGCTGTTATGTTCACCATTGGTAGTCCCTCCGGCCAGCAGGGGCTGGGGTAGAGCAGTAACAGCCTGAATGACAGGGTGGTCTAAAGGCACTGCATTACTTGAGAAGTTTCTTGTGAGAAGTTTGGCTGACATGGTCCCTTATGTGTTACTGTTCATGAACTTAACTTATAATAAAGATTATTGTGTTACCTGATATCTGCCTGCTCCCCGTGTGTGTGGGTTAATTGGGGGATTAAAAGAACTGGGTGCCAGCCAGTGGGCCATTACATGGAGGGCTCACTGGCGACACATGCACCCTTTAGGCCTGATGGTCAAACAGCTTCAACTGTTATACTGACTTCAGTTTCCTCAAAGTTTTTCATTGTTGTTTTTATAAATGTCTTACATGAAGCCTTTTTCTGGTGTTTACATCCTTATTGATGAGTCAACAATAAAGCAGTTTGGTGTTTATGGTCATTAGGCATGTGTATTATTTGTTGATTGGTTCATGTTTGTAGCATTTTTAATGGCAGTTTTTTGAAAGTGGCAAACAAGTGAATATGTCAGATTTCTGTGTCTTACTGTGTCCTACAAAAAGTGCCAAGTTGAATTGCATAGTGGGTTCAGAGCTGAACATGTGTTTAGAGTTTTGGAGATTTGAGTTGAGGTTTTGCTTTTTGACTGTGAGTTTAAATAATTATGCTTTATGTGAAATGTGTGTGTTAGCTATTGAAAAAAACTGTAACAACAACAATGGACATATGGACAGCAGCAAGAGGGAGAGGTAGAGGGAGGATGAGAGAGAGGGAGGATAAGAGAGAGGGAGGATGAGAGAGAGGGATGAGGGAGAGAGGGAGGATGAAATGAAGTCAGTTGAAGAGTTCAAAGTCAAAGTCAAAGTCAGCTTTATTGTCAAGAATTCTACATGTTGTCCATCCAGAAATATCGAAATATCGTTTCCCGCAGTCCTACAGTGTGACATATATACATCAAACAAAAAACAAAAAGGGCCTAGATAAACATGGTATACATTAAACAAAACACAGGGCCTAGATAACCGGGGTATACAGTTTAAAATGTTAATAATATAATTTAAGTGTTCAAAGTACAGTTTCAGTGCAGTAGCAGCGGAGATGGGCAGAAAAGTGAGTTAGGGGGTTAGAGTCCAGGACCATTTGGGGCAGGGGAGAAAGGTCGGAGGCAGGGTGGAGAGTTCAGGGGAGAGATGTCAGAGAGGGGGAGAGAGGGAGGGAGGGAGGGGAGAGAGTTCAGCATCCTGACCGCCTGGTGGAGGAAGCTCTTGCCCAGCCTGGAGGTGCGCGAGCTGAGGCTGAGGAACCTTCTTCCTGAAGGCAGGAGGCTGAAGAGGCTGTTGGAGGGGTGGGTGGAGTCACCCACAATGCTGAGTGCTTTGCGGGTGAGGCGGGTGTTGTATATGTCCTCTAGTGATGGGAGTGAGGCACCGATGATCCTCTGGGCAGAGTTCACTATGCGCTGCAGGCTCTTGCGGTCGGCGGCGGTGCAGCTTCCGAACCACAGCGTGATACAGCTGCTGAGGATGCTCTCGGTGGCGCCTCGGTAGAAGGACAGCATGATGGGGGGTGATGCTCCGGCTCGCTTGAGCTTCGCTTGAGCTTCCGGATGAAGTACAGGCGCTGCTGGGCTTTCCTCGCTAGAGCGGTGGTGTTGTTTTTCCAGGTGTTATTTGCAGTATAATGGTTGGAGCTGTATGACCGTGAGGCCTACAGGTGATGCTTCTTCTGCAGGTGGATGAGGGGCTGTGGTCAGACCCAGCTAGGTGGTAAAATACAGAGTATTTTCCTTTCCTGTGCTTTTTTGTAAAAACATTTAGTTGTATTTATTTTTCCTCAAAGTTTTCAATTTACTGTATTTGACAAAGGCATCCTTGTTGATGACATACCTGTAACTATGAGTTCTGCATGAATGTTTGAATTTGTTTTGGAGAAAAACAAAAGTATAACAGCAGTATATTTGTGTTTCTACATATTTTTGTAGACTTCAACAATCTTTATACGCCATAAAAGACGAGTGTGCTTTAGATTGAGCCCCACAGTGTGTAATTGGTTGGAGAAAGAGTCTGGTACTTTAAATGAAGTGTGCCATTAGATGCAAAAGTTTGGTTTTGGTAAGTGTTAGTGTAGTTTTGAGTGCAGTGCTCCCTTCTGCAGGGTAAATGAGGTGTTTTGCACTTTGTGTGTGGTTTTGTGAATTGTGTTTTGAGAAAATAAGCCCTGCTTTAAAAATACGTGTTTTAGCACAACTTTAATGTAAGTGGAGTTTTTAAGCTTGCTGTGTAATGTATGTTAATATCTTGATGTGTGAACACTTACACCACCCTTCCTGTTCTCTAAAACATACTCTCTGGTTGCTTCACACTTCCTGTCTTGTGGGTGGGTTAGCTGCTGTATTTAAACAGTACATCTTTTAAAAGACGCCTCATACAGCTTCGAGTGTTACTGAGACACAGTTCCCTCCGTCACGGAGTGCGAGGGTGTAGGCTGGTTTATCAACCACACAAGTCAAATTCTGCTTTAACTGCTGTTACTGGTGAGTTTGCTTTTATAACAAAATTATTTTTTGACTCTCATTACCCTTTTTTCACATTCTTATATGACAACCTGATGATATTGTGTTTCAAGCCAAATCTGATGTTAATTATATTTTACATCATCAAACATCGAGTCAAATCTATTTTGTAACATTGTCACACTAAAATATGAAGAAGAAAATCTATGTAACAACACCGCTGTTTTGTACATTTATATTATCAACATAAACAAACTTCCTGTTTTTTAAGAGGAAGTTGACTAACTTAAGAACTGACAGAAATAACTGACCAAGTATTGGTAGTATTGTAGTTCTTATTTGATTTCTGAATCCAAAACTGCTTAATTGTAATATAAAGTTGAGTGATAAGTTATAAGTAAGGTCTTTTTTTACTAATTTCTCCAACATACAAGTCAAATTCTGCTTTGTCCTGAGACCATTTTCAGCCTCGGTGAAAGAGGAAGTGAACTGATGACACTTTAATGTTCTCTATTACCTTTTATGGTGTCAACAGTGTTGAGAAAGAGACAAGCCTTTTTGAACACGACACCATGTCAGTCTAAAACTTTAAAACCAGGGCTCTAAATAAGGGTGCTTATTTTAAAAAGACTGTATGCATATGTGGTAATTCAATGAGGAATTACTTTTTGTAAGATATCATACAACCTTTATGAGGATACATTATTCACATTTCAACAAGATGACAGTAATTTCTGTATGTAGTCCAATGATTGCATGTTGATCGAGGACTGTAAGATATTTTAACATCAACTGTTCTTTGGTTGAAGTAGTGAGTAACTTAATAATTGGTTAACAAACATAAAAGAAAAAGTTGTGTTGTTAAATTGTCAATATGCAAACAATGCTAAAAGGTTTCAAATCATAACAAACTGTTGCAGCAAATTCCCTAGTTTGATTAAACTAGTTTGTGTTTTTGCATGAATAATTATGGAAAGCCATTATGGAACATTTTATTGTTCCCTTTTACATTTAATGTGTCAACAAAGATGACTGATTTCTGCAGTCTGTTGTTGGGAAATTGGCAGGTTAGACAATTAATACTCGAGGGCAGTGGCGTCGCCTGGCCTGGGCATCTGGGGCTTTGTTTTTTCTGTAGCCCCGGACAATTCTCCCTCAATAATATAATACATTAACCGTGCTTTACGTGAACCTCATCATGACACAAGAGAGGACGGCAGCACTGTAATTTCCCGTGTTCAGTGAATGCAACAGAGGCATGACACCAGACCAATCAGAGAGTTGCATGGAAATAAACGTGTGCTTGTGTCATTCAAGCTCGGCTCTGTGTGTGTGTGGCAATAGCGCATTTAGTGTGATAGAGAGAGAGAGAGGGAGAGAGGGGGAGGGAGGGACCGGTGCCAGCAGGGACCGTGTTGTTAGCATCTGGTTAGCTAGCTGCACTAACGGACATAAGGAGCTGTTTGTTCCACAACAAGCTGGAGGAGAGTCCTCTCCTCTCACGGTACGTCTACACAGCAGCGTTAAAAAAATCTTGAAACGCTTCTGCCCATTCACTTTGAATGGGGTGACGTCACTTTCCCTCACTTTTCGCCGAACTGCATTGTGGGCAGGCGAGCAGAGATTTTCAGGATTTTCAGGATTCAAAGTTGAACAATGTTCAACTTTTGAGGCTGAGGTGGAAGCGTCAGCCAATCAAATCCCGTGTACGCAAATCTGACAGTTCAAGCTCTAGCCAATCAAACGGCGTGTATGCTGGGAGAGACATACCGCAGGTCATTTCCTCATATTCCAAAAAATGGAGGAGAAATTAGCGGTAGCGAATCACCCGGTGCTTTATGACCAGACCTACCGGGATATAAACCGGAGGAGCCAGGCATGGAGGGAGGTGGCAGAGACAGTGGTAGGTTTTCGCCTGTTTGGGGAGTTTATATCCAGTTTACTTCGGGCTTTTTTGCTTCGTATCTCGCGGGCGGGAGATTCATGTGATTGGTTGTTCGTGCCTTGCTCGCAAAAAATCCTCAAGCTTCAGATACGCCCACCTCCAAGATTTTTTTAACGCTGCTGTGTAGACGTACCGTCAGACTGAGAGACTCAGGTGAGCTAAAGGACTCTCTGAGTGTTTAGATACTTAACTTTAGTCTAAGGCGCCGTTTACACGAGGAGAAAACTGCTTGTATCTGCATAGTTTCGCGTGCGTATAGCCCTATTATTTACACGAGGCCGATAGAAACTGACCCCACAAACAATAACGGGTCCCAAGGTGGATAGATTTGCAAACGAAACGCTCTGGGGGGTCAACCGAGTCCGTGTAATCACCTCGATACGAATATTTCCTGAAAAAATAGCGATAGCCCCGCCTCTCCCCACCTCTCCTGCTCACTGCTGGAGCAACTATCAAAAATAGCTGTGTTAATTAAACGCACAAGGGGTTCTTGAATGAAATAATATTATAAAAGGCAAACCAGAATTGTTAACGCCCAATATACTCCTTAAACAAAATAAACAGAGTCAGATTTCATGCATTGATCCATTATATTGACAAAGGAGGATCTCACCCGGTGTTTGTAGAGAATATCTCTCTCTTTCTGAGCCGTCCTCTCCACGGAGACGTGCTTCTGTCGGATGCAATATCCACAGATTCGGTTTCTTTCAGTTTCTTTCAGTTTCAGTTTCAGTTTCGGGGCTTAAACAGAAGGGTAGCCATGGCAACATTGCAGCGGGGCTGATCGGTTGCTCTTCTTCGCGGCTTTTGGTGTATTTTGGCGGAAGTTACAGCGCCACTTACAGTCCCAGCATATGTACTACAGCGTTTCCAGCGGCCTCGTTTGAACAGACACGTTAAATGAAACAAATGCATGTGAACGGAAGACTTTTTTGAATACGCATACTGTGCATAAACGCAAACGGTCCCGTGTGAGCGGGGCCTAAGTTATCTCAGTGGGTCTCAAACGGTTTGGTCACAAATTATTCAAAAGATTATTTCCGCGGCACACCTTCATATGATCATTATAGTTATAAAGAAAATAAGAGAATAAAGGAAAAACAGTTATGAAATACTATATGGCAGTAAAACAAGAATAGAGTTTAAAAGGGGAGTGATTAGTAAAATATCCATAAAGAAAAAGTACATCTGTTTACAGTTCTGCTTCATATGGGTGTTGAGAAAGGTATCCATAGATCTCTTCATTTTGCTCTCAAAGTGCAAATCTGGCATAGCAAGGGTGTACCTTTAAAACTCATGATTTTGGTGATTTTTCATCTTTAGTGGTGTCAATCCATCAGAAAATATAATTGTATTAATCACTAAAATAAAATGTTGTTAATTATGATCAATTACAAGTATACAAATACTAGTAGTTACTATTTAAGACGCTGGAGCATGGACAAACCCGCTGTCACAGAGAGCCGCTGTTATTCCCCTCTTTATAATGTGTGATACACCGGACATACTGTATGCTTGAATGGTAGTATTTCTACTGCGAGCACTATCTGTACCGGCAAACACATTTTCATGTTTGATCAAATGCCTAAAATGACCTAGCCTATGCTTATATTATTCTGATAAGCAACTCATTGTTTAGAGAGAGAAATTGCGTAACTTTGGCATGGTGGTAGCTTGCTAGCTATGATGGATATAAGAAACTTAAAAACAAATATAAGGGATCATGAAGACAACGAGGCGCAGGCCAGGCAAGATGAGGTGGAGGAGTTATCTCCCGTTGCCACTGCCTCATCTTCAAGCTCAGGTTGGTGAAGATGAGGGCTCTTTATCTAGCTAACGTTAATGTTAATGTTGGCTAGTCCAGCTAGCCTGCAGTCACTGTGATATGAATGTGGAACAGCCAGGTGCTAGTAAGCAGCTGCGTGTCTGGCACGAAAAACTGGGGTGTGCGTGTGTTCACAATTGGGCTGACTTTATGTCTGCATATCCTTATAAAATAACTCGTAAATATTTTAATCCACTATGTTTACATTATATTCCAGTACTTCAGATTGTTATCTCTCGATTAACACCAATAATGACCAGGAACTGTCAGAAACACGGTGGATCCAACCAAAACAAAACACGTCGCCTTCTTAAACCTAACATTGAGTCTATGCTTGTATTTTGAAATGTAGCCTACTATATACATAAACTCCACTTGACTTGAAGCATATGCATCCTCTTGGTGATTGATTGAAAAATGTAACATATTTTGACTCAGGCTACCATAGTTCACTTTATATAGCAAGCAGCCATGCCAAGCTAGCAACAGGCTATTTCATGCTTCCATTGAATTATTATCAAATAAAAAATCGACTCATTATTTGAGAGTTACACATTAGTGTGCCATAAAGTAACCTACCATGTTATGTTCCTTGTTCATTGTGTATTATTGACATCTAGTGGACATTTGAAGACACTACACAGATTAGTTTGTGTGTATGTGTGTGTGCACAATAGGAAATTAATATTATTATTAATAACAACAATAATAACAACACATTTATTTATAGCGTATCACATTAAAACAATTAAATATAGCTCAATAACTTCATATACTGTTGGAGGAAAATCAAGAGTGACATGGAAGGCGTATATGTAGTGATGGTTCAATTAGACACATGGCCTTGATGATGGCAAAGTGATTGACACATTTGCCAAACTGAAATCAAGACGCCACACCCTCATGCTTCCTCCCCATACAAAATGGAATGTTATTGCACACAACACTCCCCAAAACTCCAGCTCCCCCAAGTTCAAGTCTCAAATTCCCTGGGATTGTTGCACTGCTCAAATGTAACCCTTTGGCAACCAGCCTTTCTTTTCAAACTTGAAACAGCCTTTGGAAACCTTATTTTGTATTGAATGAAGATGGTCATTTTACATTGGTGGTAGTAATAGTTTAGTGTAGGTTGATAACCTTGAAATAAAGCAAAGAAAAATAACCTAATAGCCGCGTTCACACCAAGTAGGCCTACTTTGCCGTACTTAGTGCCGGCACTTAGAACGCGGCTAATGACTACATTTCTCTTAAAATACACATAAACATTAAGGAACATATCTTTACCACATTCAGAGTTAGTAATTGACCTGATAAATAACATTTCAATGAAAAGTAGATTTATTGTTTGTTATATAAAACTAAGATGTTATATGATCATATTTGGGGAATTGACAAAAGGGCGGACAGAAAAAGTAAGGTGCATGTGAAACACAGAAAGAAGATTGAGTTAAGAGTGGGATACACTACAAACATTTCACACTATTTAAATCAAACTCAATGGCAGAACAGCCCCCTTTCCTGAAAACCTTTTACTTTACTTCTCTGCATGCATGCATGAAATGCAAGCATTTAATTATAAGGCCAAGCTTTTGATATTTACACCTCATTCTCGGAAAATGTCACAGTTTATTATTTGTTCCAATGGGTTACCTTTTTTTTAAGATTGTATTTTCATCAGTTCGATGTTTGTTCATTTTAAGGAATTTTACTCTTAATCAATGCGAAAACCAATTGTGGAACACATTAATTATTCATTAATGAGATCCAATCTGTGGCTCGTACAAGTAATGCCAATGTAAAGTTAATAGAATAATGAATGTCAGTTAAGGTTTACATTGAACATGTGTATTGGTTTACAGGAAATGGAGAATTATTTGCTGCTTCTTCTGCTCATGCTGATGGGTAAAAATGGTAAGTTTTGAAAACGTTAACATTACCTAATTTAATTGAAAATCTTTAAAGCTCAACTAAAACATATTTGTTATATTAATGAGTGAAATGACTGCAATGCCAAATTAGACATGTGTGCGAGCAAGCCCTGCAGTTCATCAGAGCATTTTATCCACTGTCATTGCATAGTAAGAGGCTATAAATGTAATTGTCCAAAAACAAAACACACAATCTTGATAAATAATAATGATAATAATGTTTAGAATTAAGAATTCATGGTTCAATATCTTGAGTTGATGTTGCACAGAGTTTGTGTTTTTCTCTGCAGGATTGTGTCAACAGGAGAAAGGTTGCTCAAAGTCGATGGTCAACTCATGTGGTGACTGTATGAGATCTGCGCCAGAGTGTGTGTGGTGCAAACAGCTGGTGAGAAACACAATTTATGTAACCTATAAACTTTCTACTCAGGAGGTATGTCTAGATTTTCCTGATTTAGGTGGGGCACTGACTGATGGTCAACATCAGTTGCTATATGACAGCACGGCGTTGCTAGTTAATTTTCAAAATAAATAAACAAACAATACCAGTGGGCCAAGCACGAGCCTGTTCATATTGTAGCGTTCACCGCTATTCAAGATCACAGATCACGAGCCTTCAATGTCGAAAACGTTCTCTTTATTTTATGGTATTGACGGCCACAGCCACGCCTAGAGCCAATCAATAGTATAACACTCATTATGACTTTTCCCCACACTCGAACACAACTCCTACCGTCTCGTACTCCCAGTCCCTACACACACACACACACCGGAAAACGCACACACACACCTGGAAGGGGCGGTTTCCCTAACTCCCACCAACAACATTGCCTAAATAACTTTACAAATGTACTCAACTGTGCACATCTGATAACTGAAATAACTATTAACTTGGACACGCTACAATATTATCATTAATAATTACATTAAAACATTCCTTTGACACTTCTAACATTACTTTGCAAGGTAAGCACAACCAAAATAAGTTTGTAAAAGCAGAATTTGAACACTGATTCTGTGCTCCTACAATATTTGTGTATAATACCATTACACCCTAAGCGTACACAATAGCGATCGTTCACTGTTTCAACTGGCATGCTGTGGCATTTAACCTCATCACCACACCGCAAACAGACAGACACACACACACACAAACACACACACACACACTCACACACACACACACACACACACACACACACACACACACACACACACACACACACACACACACACACACACAGGGCTCCGTTGGAGATCGCGGCCGTTTACGCTGACTTGTGAGAAATCTTTCCATTTTCGATCTGTGTTCACATACTGAGAATTATAACAACATTAGCCAAGTAACAGTTTGCGCTTTAACTTACAATGACCCCTGGTAGATCTCGCGAGAATGTGTATAAATATATATAGATACATTTTCATAACAAAACAATGGGGTTGCTAAGCCGTTGCTAGGCCAATTGTTGGAGTTGCTATAGCAACTCCAAGCTACCCCCTGGCGCCGCCCCTGGTCAAGACATAATCGAATTCAGGGCCAGATCATAAAATCTGTTTAAAGTGTAACGGCTCGTCCACACAGCAGCGTTAAAAAAATCTTGGAGGTAGGCGTATCTGAAGCTTGGGGATTTTTTGCGAGCAAGGCACCAACAACCAATCACATGAATCTCCCGCCCGCGACATAAGAAGCAAAAAAGCCCGAAGTAAACTGGATATAAACTCCCCAAACAGGCGAAAACCTACCACCATCTCTGCCACCTCCCTCCATGCCTGGCTCCTCCGGTTTATATCCCGGTAGGTAAATAGGGACTGGTCATAAAGCACCGGGTGATTCCCTACCGCTAATTTCTCCTCCATTTTTTGGAATATGAAGAAATGGCCTGCGGTATGTCTCTCCCAGCTTACACACGGTTTGATTGGCTAGCGCTTGAACTGTCAGATTTGCATACACGGGATTTGATTGGCTGACGCTTCCACCTCAGCTTCAAAAGTTGAACATTGCTCAACTTTGAATCCTGAAAATCCTGAAAATCTCCGCTCTGCTGCCCACAATGCAGTTTGGCGAAAAGTCAGGCAAAGTGACGTCACCCCATTCAAAGTGAATGGGCAGAAGCGTTCCAAGATTTGTTAACGCTGCTGTGTGGACGGGCCGTAACAGTCATAACCCCTGCTTCCTCCTCTTTAATCTGCCAGGCTAATCGTTTCCCTGGCTGATCTCCTTGTTCGTAATATCTGTGTTTCATTATTTGTATTGCCTTTTTTGTTTAATGCTTATTAAGTAATTTATATTCCAGCTGTATTGACTTAAGTTGTTTGAAAATAGCACTGTTATTTGACTATACGTGATGTTTTTCTTGTTCTTTAATATTTTATTCCAGAGTTTGGAAATTATTCACGTACTATTTACATTTACCAAAGGTGTAAAATAAGATTTGGCCTCTGTGACAAGGTTTTTATGGCGTCCCATATAGTGTTAGGATTAGCTGTATTTTGATTTATATTAAAAGATTCTGTCGATTTCATTGCCAATTTTAATCACTAAATTCTGAATTGTTACGCAAGTTAGCAAGGCAGCATGATCCGATAAGGTCCTTGCCAAATACTCACTTGAGGTAACCTCCTGATGTACCTTGGGGGAGGGTATCAACAGTGAATCTGTACTGGTATAACTATTGTGGACAGAGAGTACAGAGAGTACAGAGAGTAAATGAGTATTCTCTAGTGTTCTTATTAAGCGTACACTAAATATCAATGGGCCCCATTCTCAGCATTTCCTCATTTAGAAGTGTAGCACTTTGTGTTAAAGAGCTGGTCTTCTGAGAAGAGCGATCGAGGATCAGGTCTGGAACTTGATTGAAATCTCCTCCCATGTGAGGGTCCGATAGATTTAAGAATAATTTCTCAAAGAATTGGGGATTCTAAATATTGGGTATTTGTACCGTATACATTAACCAGTGTCATGGGATCAGATTGTAAAAGCTCTTATACTGTCACAAATCTTCCAAAAGTGTTGTTGGTGACAGAGTTTACCTAGGATGCAGTGACGTGCGGTGAGGTTCATGGCTGGTGAGGCACTGACTCTTTCAGAGTCAGATTTACAAATATTATATTTTGACCTTAAAGGTGGGGTAGGTAATTTTGGAGAAACCAGCTCGAGTGCGCTAGAATTTGAAAATACACAGCCGGAAAAAATCTGCCACTTCCTTACAGAGCCCCTTCTCCAACACACACAAACGCGCACATGACCAATGAGGGCACGAGATAAGTTTGTGCACAGATGGAAAGCTGACAGGCAGGTAGGCCATCCAGTTATTTTAGCCGGGCCGGCTTTTTACAGTACTACGGCTTCCACAGATGACATTTTTTTATGGATTTGTTATCAAAGCACTTAAGATATTCATTGCTATCGGGATGTTAAGAGCATTCCATGGAATATAACAAAAAGTGTATCTCGAGCCGGTTTCTCAAACTTACCTACCCCACCTTTAATCGAAATATTCTGTTATTTTCAAAAGCTTTTTTAGTCTGATTTTTCGATAAATTTTAAACAGACCGTTCAACAAAAGGTTACCCAAAATCTAAATATTGGATTGCTCTTTCTTAGTAAGATCCCATTTTCCTTACAGTTGTGGTCTTACCTTGACTTGAAGATTAAGTCCATGCTATCCTTCTGGACAACAATCTCTATTACTTTTTTGTAAAAGTCCTCCTTATCTTCCTCTAGTTTCAAAAGTCTAGTTTGTTGTTTGCGTCTACCGTCCCTGCGTAGAATAACAAGTAGCAACAAGAACCTGTGGGCTCACGTGCGCCCCCTTCAGTGCTGCAGAGATTATGGCTGTCTCCTCCGGTGCTTTCTCATTGCCGTTGTATGATGCGACTAGCGAGCCTAAATATCATATACGTGAAATAAGTAATTTAGAGACTATGGATGGCAAGGACACATGTAATAAAGGGATCTACAAACATTACAATTGTGACCTACAGTGAGATGGTAACAGGCACGCGATTAGTGCCCGCGCTCCAGCCAGTTTTTGTGGGGTGACGCATCTGAGGTGAGGCAGATCTAATCTGTGCCTCACCTTACCCCACAGTAACTGGCTGGAGCGCGGGCACAAAATAAGTGCTCGCGCTAAATTAGTGCCCGTGCTCCAGTCAGTTTCTGTAGGGTTACGTGAGGCAGAGCTCGTCCCTGCCTCACTTCTCATCGCTCCCGTAGCGGAGCTCGGCAAATTTGCTGATTTTGACTATAAAAAGCGATTGGAATCATACATAAATCACATTTACAAAACAAATCAGTGGAGACTGACTGCACGTCGCTGCTGGGATGGGACGTTCCTATGAAGACATATTGCCACTTGGCTTGTTTGGGTTGTCTATGATGAAAGAATATCTGGCTATAATTTCCTTGTGTTAGTTTAACATGCTCTGTGTCTGTCAGATGTGTCTCCTGCAGAAAGGCTATATCAATATTATGTTGTATAGAATAATTTTGAATATGTTTCATTTTCACATAGTTTTCAACCCCCCTTACATTCCAACCAGACACCTTTATCCCATTGGTCATGTTAATTGTGCTTAGATATAGCGCCTGCAACAAATAAGATGAAATATTTAAACTATTACAGAAAAGTTCCCTCCTTTTCCAATGTAATGTTTAGGTAGACCTACTTTGCTGATTGTAAATAAAGAAAACTTTGAACCCTAACCTCTTTTTCCAAAACTAAAGAGGTACCCCAAAAAACTAGTATCCGTAGTGTTGTGGCATTTGAGATCATTACAAATTTGCTCAACTCTCAATTATAGTGATCTTAAAAGTAACCTTCAAAAGACTTACTGCGGTTCTATGTATTATGTCACTCCCCAAGCCTGAGTAGACTATAGTTTGCTAAAACCATATGCAAGAAGTAATAGAAACAACATAATAGGCAGACACAGATGAGTGAACATAATATATCTTTCGTGTGTTTTTCATCCTCTTCGTACAGAATTTTACAAAAGCAGGTGAGCAGGAAGCAGTGCGCTGTGACACCAAAGCTCAGTTGATGAAGAGAGGCTGCAAGAGGGAAGAAATCATCGCCCCGGAGAACACTATAGACATTGTGAAGGCAGATCCTCTGTCTGTGTCATTTGACAAACAGCTGAAAGAGCCTGTTCAGCTGAGTCCACAGAAGATTAGTTTGAGACTGCGACCTGGTGAGTGGAATCAGTTGATGCGGACATTTGTGAACGGAAGGAACTACAGTGATGTGTTGCCTGTGTTGGCTGGTCAAAAAAAAGTTCTTAAATAGCTACTATCATCACATTTGATTTGACGAATTGTAAAAACTACGGGCACTAAACGTCAAATATGCTTGAGCAGTTTTCTTTCTTTTCTGTTTGTGTGTTTATTTTTTGTTTTTACAGGGCTCCCTAAGACATTCAGGGTTTCTTTCAAAAGAGTTCAGGGTTATCCTGTTGATCTCTACTACCTGATGGACCTGTCCTACTCCATGAAAGATGACTTGGCAAATGTCAAAGGACTGGGAAAAGATCTTTTTGCAGCTCTGAAGAGTATCACAAATTCTGCTCAAATAGGTAATAAGATTCAAATGTTAATCTGACAATTTAAATCATAAAAAATACAATTGTCTATTATTTGGTAACACCCCCGTAAAATTGGTCTAGAACTGCCACTGTGTATAACGTGTTAGGTCTGCACAAATATCACTGCATTTCACCATTCAAACATCTTGAGAAACAAGTAAATCACCCCTGGCTTTGCCTTTTATTTCAGTTAATGAAAAGGAAAAAAAGATTACAAACCAATTGCCCTTTCTTTAACTACAGGGTTTGGTGCATTTGTTGATAAGACAGTTCTTCCTTACACTAACACCAACAAGGAGAAACTGCTGAAGCCGTGTGATGAGAATGACCAACAGTGCCAGGCTGCCTTTGGCTACAGACATGTGCTTAGTATGACGTCAGAAGAAGAACAGTTCAAAACAAAAGTAACAGAGGAGTTCATTTCTGGGAACTTGGACTCTCCAGAAGGTAGTCTGGACGCCATGATGCAGGCAGCCGTGTGTGGGGTAAGGAATCTACCAAAGAAGTAACTATGAACTGTGAGTTAGACAAGGAGAGCAAGAACGGGTTCATTATTAGAAAAGGATTAACAGTAAACAAGAAAAAACTCTTCGGCCGTTTCAAGTAGAAGTAAAATATCAAATTTAGAATGTTTCAGGGTCTATGCTTTCAAGCAGTGAAATAGCCGTACCCACTATGAATTGCAACTGAATTCTGAAGTATACAGTACCTAATGACGTTGTCAAAACTTCAAAATATACTTCATGTGTCCTGACATGTAAAATTAGGCTTGATGCTATTTTTTCTAACATCAAAGGGCCTGTGATCTGAGGAAGCAAGTATAGACATAAAAGAGAGTTGACAGGAGAAAGTATTCTGTTTATGTACAAAGGAGGAGCCTATCAGAGCAGTACATAATGCCCTTTGAGGTAGGAAGAGTAGATCACATAATTTGTACATTTATCCCATCATCTAGATGGTTCATATATCAAGATATAAAATGCAGCTCAACAAAAGCTTACCATCCCCATCATTTCATTTTGTCTTTAACACAATCACAATGTCAAAAAAACGTTTTCTATCCAAACTAAATACACAATCTTTCCCTAGCCTTAACCAAGTGTTCTGGCATCCTAAACCTAGGACCAGAAGCATTACAACATCCTCATTGTAGTTACTCCCATATGTTTTTCACAATGCATCTTACTTGGGTTTAAAGGTACTTTGTAGGAGGCTGATATGGGAGATCACAGGGTTTTCTTAAAGGGGACCTATCATGCAAAATGCACTTTTGTACGTCTTTTATACATGAATATGTGTCCCCGGTGTTCCAGGGAACTCACCAAGTGTCAGAAAACACAACCCTCTCTATTTTCCTCCATACCCAAATCTCTAAAAAAAGGGGCTGCAACGGATCTGATCAAAACTGATCCAGATTTGAACACTGTCCTGACGTCAGGACGGTGGCGCTACGGCTATTGGGCCAACTCCACCAATCAGGAGGAGACAACCACGGCATTGCCGTTCGAAAGCGCTGGAGACGCTGTAGTACATATGCCAGGCCTGTAGATGGTGCTGTTGCTCACAGAATCAACCCTTGCAAAAACAGAGCTAACATTTTTCAAATTGAGCGAAATGAGGCATGGCTAAAATGCATGATCTGTTTGGTATTTTGAAAAAAAAAAAGTATAAATATGCCTTATATAGGTATGGTCCTACACTATATTATTCAAATATAGCATGATAGGTCCACTTTAAAGTGAAAAATTCAAATTTCAATTAAATGGGCCTTTAAAGTGTTCTTACTTAAATTGTCCCTTACACATTTATCGTTGTTTAGGAAAGAATAGGTTGGAGGAACAGCAGCACTCGGCTGATTGTGCTGACCACTGATGCCGGATTCCACATGGCCGGAGATGGAAAATTAGCTGGCATACTGGAACCCAATGATGAACAGTGCCACATAGAAAACAGCTTGTACACCAAAAGCAATGAAATGGTATGGAATCACATAAGCAAATGCCTTTTTTTTACCTGCCATGCCACTTTTGCTGTAACAATGTAAATGTCCCCGATGTGGGACTGATAAAGGATTTCTGATTCTGATTTCTGAATTAATTTGTTGCAGTGGCATGGTTACCAAGATAGTAATACATTGTTGAAAAACTTGTGTAGTGAGTTTAGCACCTTAAATAGTTATTTAAGGTGTGTAACATAAGGTTAACAAAATGTCACTGATTTCTTGGATGGTTGTGTGCAGGACTACCCATCTGTTGGACAACTAGCCATGCAGTTGGAAAAAAACAATATTCAGCCAATATTTGCAGTGACAGAAAATGTGGAGGATGTGTACAAGGTAAAATAAATGTACCTTTTGTTTTTGTGCCTCATTTCATTTATTCATAGTTCACACATTTCATTCTTATGCTAATTGTTTTTAATTTAACCTTGTTTTTTATCCCAGCAACTCACTAAATTGATTCCAAAATCAGAGGTGGGAGTTCTGTCCTCAGATTCCAAAAATGTGGTTCAATTGATCAAGGAGGCCTACAAAGTAAGTTGTCCGTTTATCACATTCTCCTTTTTGTTGGGTGTGCATCTGTCAGTTATTTTCCTCACACGTTTTTGTTTTATCCAACCCTCTTGAATGTGCACTCCATGGCAGAGGTTGTCATCCAAAGTGACTGTGACCCATGACAATCTGCCTGAGCATGTGAGCGTTGTCTACACCCCTAACTGCAAGGGTGCAGGACCAGCAGGGGAGAGCGAAGGGATTTGTGATAATGTACCAGTGGGAGAGGAGGTCAGTTCTTTCTGTAGTATTTTTTAACTTTTCAATTTGATGTTCATTTAAAATTCCTGTTATATTCATTTGAGGTCCTTGTGGCACTGGATTTAGTAGGGTAATAATAATGATATAACTAATAAACACATTTAAATGTATCATAGCTCCTTTTATCTCATTACTCATGACACATTTACATTTAAAAAACATTTCATACCAACATCCAAACAAACACATACACAAATGAAAAAAAACACAATGCAATGAAATTAATAAGAAAAACTAAACTGGAATAAAAAGATCTCAACTGGTGATGTGAGTTTATCAGTAGAAAGTGAATTTGAACAATTCAAAATAATTTCTTAAAATTAAAAAATGTGCTCGAGTACTACTATGAAAAAACACAGACAATACAAGTCACTGTTTTAATAAGTAAGCATAAACAGTTTACCAAACATATACTATTTGATTGGTAAATACTTCACTTCTAAATACTAAATACCTCACATCATCCATATAAGCTCTCCTTCCAGTTGAAGTTCAACACTAACATATTCAAACTTTAAGTTGAACAGTAATACTTCCAAACATGATAAGATGTTGTAAAACGGTATGCCCAACATGACAGTAGTGGTTGTACAGACATGCAGGACCCAGAAAAATGCGGTCGCAGACAGACGTTTTTGTAATAACTGCTGCCGCACTAATACAAAATGCAGAATGTAATAAAACCCAACATTACAATATGGTGAAAAAATCGGCAGGGTAGGACCTAAAGGCGTTTAGAATTGACAGGGTGGTAGGTGTGACGGTCTTGGAGGAGGAGTGAGGTTAAATATCATCAACATTGCAGTGGAAACGGATGCCATCTTGGCGGAGGTTTTTTAGGGGGAGGATGTATAGGAGAGAAAACCTGGGGGCAACACAAGTGGCTGGGGTGCTGGATGGCAGTTCTAAATCACACAAGAGATAATAACACGCAAGCGTTCTCCCACTGAATTAACATTTGATAAACGTAGCCCGCCAATCAGGACGAGACTACATGAATGCGTGTATCGGCCTCACATTATAAGGCAGCTACGCCGCTGACTGTCACTCTTCTTACTTCAGCGTCTTCGTCATGACATATTGAATGAAGAATTTACAAAATGAATGAATCCTACACCATTTCCCCTCTCTATTATGTGGTGCTATAACACACGCCTAACAACCATTATGTTGCCCTATACATCATGTGAGGAACATACAATGTAATTTAATGTAAATTGGATGATGTCTATCATATAGGGCTGACTTCTTGTTGCCAGTAGGTGTCACTATAATTATGAAACCATATTGTCAGTGCAGTCTCTATGGGGGAAGTGAGCATAGCGGGTTGAGAAACTTGTTGCAGCACAGTTCACCTGAAATATCTTCACCGCCAGTCCTGAATTTCCAGGAGGAAAGAAATACGTCCGTGCTGCAAATATATCTGGGTTTTTTAGTGGTAAAAAGGCACTTTTCATCTGAAGCCAACAGCCAACAAGACTTTGGTAAAGAGGCATGTACAAAGGCACTTAAGACATAAGACAAATTACTGTAAAAAGTAAAGAAGCTGGAAGGAAGAGTTCCATTGAAATGAATATAAGTACAAGGGGGGATCAAGAATGTGGCTTTCACAAGTTTACCATTAAAACCAGTGTGTGTTTTTTATATATTTAAAGTGTCACAATACATATTTTCATATTTTTAAAGCACTTTGAATTGCCTTGTGTTGAAAGGTGCTATATAAATAAACGTGCCTTGCCTTGCCTTGCCTTGCCTTTACAGCTCTGACTCTTTAACCCTGCCTTCCCTCTCCAGATTTATTTTAATGTCACAGTGACAGCAGACACATGTATTGAAGACAAGTCTTTCACCATAAGACCACTGGGAATTAAAGACACATTGACAGTGACCCTATCTTCAAACTGTGAGTGTAAATGTGAAGACCCACAGGACAGCAATCACCCACACTGCAACGGCACAGGAAGAGTTAGCTGTGGTATTTGCAGGTAAGCTTTACAACTCCCACCGTATATATGATCATAATGCGCTACAGGAACTTGGAATTTAAAAAGAATGTACTGAGAAATTAACCATTTATCCATCAAAGAATTGTACTATCCAGATCGAAAACTGAAGAGGTTTATGTTAAATATGCCCACAAACTTCAGTAAATGTCATAAAATAGCCTGTACTACACCTCTTCAACCCTACCTTATCCCTCCAGATTACATTTGATGTCACAGTGACAGCAGAGGATGGAGGACATGTATTTCACTTTAAGACTACTAGGCATTAACTACATATTGGCAGGGACCCTATCTACAAACTGTGAGAGTCAATGGGAAGACCCACTGAACTGCAGTCCCCAACAATGCATTAGTGTCCCTTCATAATCACCGAAACTTAAAGGAACCGTTCAGTGTGGCATTTCAAGGGATTGTGTTTATTTCAAAATTGTAAACTACATGACCAGTTACCTGCAAAACTTCCCATTCACCTCAGCTGTCTTTGTGTTCAGTGCTAATTAGCAAATGTTGGCATGTGTGAACATCATAAACATTACACCTGCTGAAGATCATTGTGATTTTTGAGCATGTTAACATACTGGTTCTAGCATTTACCTCGAAGCACAGCTGTGTCTACAGCCCCACAAACTTGAGCCTGGTAAATGTTTCCAAATAGCATACCGCTAATACCAAAACGTAGCAATAGTTCCTGTAATTAAGGTTGTGTTGCTCTCTCCAACTTGTCCTCAATCAGCTGCAGTGAAGGCTCCATCGGTCAGTTCTGCGAGTGCTCTATTGGGGAAAAAGACGAGATCACGCTGCGAGCGTCCTGTCAGAGGAACAACGGCACAGAGTGTGAGGGCAGAGGAGATTGTGTATGTGGCAGGTGCCAGTGCCACACCACAGAGGGTGGAAGTAGTTACCATGGTGACTTCTGCGAGTGTGACGATGAACACTGTGAGAAGTTCCAGAATAAACTATGTGGAGGTAGAGTTTTAGTCATTTTCCAAAAACATAACTTTTTTCATTGTGTGTTTTACCAGATAGCCTATAGGTACTTTCATCAAAACACTTTGTATCTCTAAGACCTAACATATGGGTAAATTGCATTTACTTTCTCATAAATCATTTGTAAAGCATAAAGCAAAGTACCAGGAAAACCCCAATATTTGTTTTAACTTAAAGACATAACATTCATGAAATGTTTTTACAAGATATAGTTATAGAACTACCAACACCTCCCACATTCTGCCCAATGGGATCTCCCTGTCACTCACAATGTTGTGTACCTAGGCTCTGAGTGACACAGGTCATTATTATTTTACATACTGCAAATGTACTTTAACTCTTTTCTCCATTTCTCTACTTGTAGGAAACGGTAAATGCAATTGTGGCACATGTGAATGCTATACAGGCTTTGAAGGCTCAGCCTGTCAGTGTATGGTGAGTGAGGAGGGCTGTCGGACCCTCAACAACACTGTGTGCTACGGCAGAGGGACCTGCAAGTGTAACCGCTGCGAGTGTAAGGAGGGATACCAGCATCCACGATGCCACAAATGCCTCGGCTGCCCAGACCCCTGCCAGACCAAACTGTAAGGATTTAAACTTCTACTGAACCTTTACTTCAAATGACTGTCGACCTATCACATTTAAAAAATAAATCACTCCAATAATATGTCAAAGCTGCGAAAATGCCCCGGGTGATTTAAACTGTGTGTGGGGGAAGATGGTGCAGCATGAAGAACATTGATTAGCTTAACGTTTTGTCGGGTAATTATTACAATAAATGTTTGTGATGTGACTTTTTTGTAGTTCTTCGCTGATATCATCAGTATCTACCCAGAAAGATAATCTGAACATTTGTTTTACTGTTGTGTTTCAACATTTTATATCTTATCCAATCAATGTAAGTTTAGCAAACATAGGTAATATTTCTCAAAATTATCCTATGCTTATACAATACTTGTGTCAATGCATTATTTGTAAATTCATAGTAATGTTTTAAATGATGGCATGTTTAAACAATTGGAAACATTTTATGAATTTAAAAATAATCTTGTTTTCAGGAACTGCATTGAATGCCTTGGCTTTGAGTCCGGTCCCTTTAAAAAAAACTGCAGTGCGGCTTGCAAAAGCATTTATCACGAGATGGTTGATCAGTTCACCGTACAAAGCAAGAAGTGCCAGCAGAAGGACACGGAGGGATGCTGGATCAGGTTCAATCTGGATCAGTTGGTCGGAGAGGATCACTACAAGGCTGAAATTCTCAAACAGAGAGGTGAGCAGCTCATAATATGTGGAACATTCTTCAGAGCTATCAAACTCTTACATTTAAGTACTATTGTTGGTGTCGGTATGCTATTTGGAAACATTTAACAAGACTAAAGCTGTTAGCAGGTTTGTGGGGCTGTAGACACAGCGGTGCTTTTAACTAAATGCTAGACACAGCATTTTAACATGCTCAAAATGATTATGCTGTTCAGCAGGTGTACTATAATGTTTATGATGTTCTTACATGCTAATATTTTTCTATTAAGCACTAAACACAAAAACAGCTGAGGCTGATGGGACGTTTTGCAGGTATTTGTTCATGAATATGAATCAATATGGAAAGTCAGAGGATCATTAAAGATATCGCATTGCAACTAGTTTTTATATAAGTTAGTCAGATGATTACCATCATTTTTAGGATTCACTCTCCGGGGACCATTCATGTCAACACAAAATAGTTCAAATAGTCCAAAGTGGTATGCCGACTGACCAACAAGCCGGCCAAAATAAACACTAAAAAATGTCAGCAGACATACTCTATTCTTCAATTCATAATTTTTGATATAGGCTGTCCTTTCCGATATCAGGAAATCTTTCTGTAGCCTAATTTCTCCCTGTTCCTCCAGACTGTCCGGAGCCCCCCAGTGTCATAGCTATCATCGGGGGCTCCATTGCATCTGTTGCTCTCATTGGCATCCTGCTGCTGATGCTCATCAAGCTACTCATCTACATGAAGGACATAAAAGAATTCAGAAAATTTGAAAATGAAAAGAAGAAATCCAAGTGGGCAGAGGTGAGACAATTTATATATTTATATACATTGTTGCCCAAAAAAGTTGGAATAAAATATTTTTTACCGCTTCTTATTTAATGATTTGGACAATTTGATTTATTCTTGATGGATAGTGTATATCTTCTCAAAACATTATTGATCAATCTCTTTCAAACATATCAAAGTGAAAACTAAATAGGAATAAAAAGAGGAAAGTGTCTGAAAACTAAATTATTCCAACTTTATGGCTAACATTGTATACATATATATATATATATATATATATATATATATATATATATATATATATATATATATATATATATATATATATATATATATATACATACACACAATGTCGTTTTTCTGTGATCTTTTGATGGACTTCCTGTTGCCAGTAGTTGAACATTGACTATTGCTGCATCCCAAATCTCTTATTTGACAATTCCTCAATCCTCGGGGAGCGACCACCTGATCATCCTTCAAAATCATTAGCCCTCAGGGAAGTGAACAGATATGACAGATTACACTCAAGTGCATCACTCCTACTGTTCATTTAAAAAAAAAAAAAAGATGTATCATCTAGTTAAAATATGAGATAATAAATCTGAACACATACAACTTTCATCATCCATGAAAACAATTAAATGTTCATGATCTATTGTTTCTCCCATTAACTTTGATTATGAATACAAATACATTCAGTGAGAGTATTGCCCCTTTCACACCAACGAGGTTCCAGGGCCGGTTCGGAGCTAGAGCCTGATAAGCACCGGTTGTTGCTGTTCACGCCGCAGCGGAGCCGGCTCTTTCCCCCCGAAAACCGGTTCTTACCAAGCTTGAAAAAATAAGCCGCTGTAAAGTATTCACTGTCAGACTGTCACACAAGCAGCTAATCAGACTATCTTGACTACTTATTGCTATCATATTGTGGCATAAGCCGTTTTCTAGACGCATATTTTACCGGCGTAGTTTTCGTTATGATTTTACTTGTGATGGCCACATGTAGCCCATGTATTGATTCCATCCGATAGCTGCAATAATACAAAACAACAGGAAAACGTCTGCCTCTTCACAATGTTCAATAACAGTGAGCGGATGGTCATTAAAGTAAGGTAAAATAAACAGAATCACACTCAGCCTGGTTAGTGTTGCCTGACTTTATATAAGTGTTTTTTATAAGTGTGTGGTTGCGTTCTAGTCACTTTGCTCAGCGCTACTGCTTGTTACAACTTGTATTCGCTGTACTCGCCATGAACTGTTATTGCTCAGGTTAATCTCGACCCCCTCCAATGTAAGCGTGACGTATTTGGTTCTTAGATCTTGCCGGGTTGCCGAGTGGGGCCAGACTCCAGCAAAGGTCAATTGTGTCTAGAGTGCGCCATCTAGTGGGATCAACTGAAATGTCGGGTATTGCAGGAAAAAGGCAAAATGAATGCGGTACTATAATTTGGACAATTTTGTACCAATATTCGGCGGGCCGGATTAAAAAGCCCAACGGGCCGTATATGGCCCGCGGCCCTTAGTTTGCCCATGCCTGGTCTAGAAGCAAGAACCGCATACGTCACGCTTACGTCGGAGAGGGGCGAGATCAACCTGAGCTAACAGTTTACGGCGAGTACAACAAATAAAAGTTTTAACAAGCAGTAACGCTGAGCAAAGTGACTAGAACGCAACCACACACACTTGTGACACACTTTATAAAGTCAGGCAACACTAACCAGGCTTCGTGTGATTCTGTTTATTTCTACCTTACTTTGAGCTATCGGATGGAATCAATACAGTACAAAAAAAGTACAAGGTTGGAGAAGTAGTCATTTAATAATCTGGCTTCGTATGCGATCATCGACCCGACGCAGTCCCCCATTGTTGTTGTAGTGAGCGCCGTTGAGGAGAAAATCAGGGACGTAAACGGTGACGTCACGACGCAGCAGCGGCAGCACCAGTCGGGCTCTGGGCGGTGTGAAGAAAACGGGGGCTGAAAAGAAGAAAACGGTTCCGAAGCAGAAGAGCGCAAGCACGGAGCTAACGGGAGCTGCGTTGGTGTGAAAGGGGCATGAGAGAGGCTGTTACCAAGAAACAAAACGGTCAATGTCCAAAACATTTATTATATTAAGTTTTAATTTATCATTATTTTAATTTAGTTTTTGATCTTGGGCCTTCAGTGTTCAAAAAACACTTTATTCTTATGCTGGATTGCTTGATTTGAATTCAAAATTCTATATATAATATATAATATATCTATAATATATATTTAATAAATGAATAATATAAAATACATTCTGCTCCCAATAAATGTCCCATGCCGCTAAGCAGGACACAGCGCACAGAATAATTACAGTGGGCAGGGTGTCATTTATAACGTCCCGATGGCCAGTCCGCTCCTGGTGCTGGTGCTTGTTTAGAACTAGTACAGAGCCCAAGTCATCACATCACCGTTTACGTTGATGATTTTCTCGGCAATGCCACTCACAACTACAACAATGGTGGACTGCATCGGGTCGATGCTCATGTTGCTCTTAATTGTATAAAGCCAGGGGCCACTCATCGTATGGCAACAATAAGAATTAGCCGCTATCATAAATCTATTGACCCACAGCTGTTGCAGAAAAAAAGGTAAGGCATGGATATTGATGAGTTTACATAAATATTTATTTTACCACTCAATGCTTATGAAATATCAATCTAAGAGCTGACTCAAAACTTGTTAATGCCATGCAATGAAACTCAACAGCAGACTGAAAACATTAGAAAGCACACCAATTATTATTTACCAGATGTTATTTGGGAATTTGTATTCCTTCTGTATGGTGGTGTGCGCTGTTTAAAAGCATCATTAGGCGCGTTCACACCGCAGTACTTTTCCCACTTTAGTTCCGATATAGTTCCGAAATGTCGCGTTCACACCAAAAAGAGCCGGAACTAAAATTAGTTCAGAGATGGAGTATTGTGCCATCTTTCGGGACTCGGACTCGCGCACTGATTGACGCGACTCGGACTTGGACTCGTGAATTCTCGCGCATGATGACTTGGACTCGGACTCGTGAATTCTCGCGTACGCTGACTTGGACTCGGACTCGTGAATTTTTTCCCCCACGATGACTCGGACTCGACTTGTACATTGACGCTCCGACTTGGACTCGGACTCGAGCAAGTTTTCTCTGGAGTCTGATGTCCTCTATCCTGGCATGTGCACCTGTGAGGCGAGTTCACGTACTGGGCCCGCTATTCCAGTCTAAAGATGTCTAGAGACACACCCCGCATCGTGCTGTATGCTTTCACACATTCTGCTTCCACATTGGAAAAGAGCAGCGCAAAATGCTCGTTATGTGGAAACAATAGTGAAGAGAAGGCTCCGTAACACATTACTCTAAACATCGAGTTCAGACATATAGGCTGTCTTGAACACTATCATCAGAGTAATGTGATCTAATCAATAAATAAAGATTCAGCCATAACACGAAAGCACATGGCTACTTAACATGCAGAATGACGTCATTTTGCATGCTAAGTAGCCATGTGCTTTCTGGGGCTTAATCTTTATCGGTAAACAAATGTAACCGGTAAAAGTTCCTTCAAAATAAGAGTCCCGATCTTATTACTATCAAAATAAAAGTGCAAAACGAAAACTTTACCATAGGAAAATATTGGCATACAAATATAATCACTTCTCTAAAAGGTAACTAATTTTAAATATAGTTAGACATATTAAAGGTAATTTACAATAATAAAAATAATAATAATAATATTAATATTAATATTAGTAATAAGCTTTATATTTGTATAGCACCTATTATAAGAATTGTAGCCAAACTTGCTTCACAGTAGTTCAATAGACAGATTAGTATAACATGACAGGATAAAAGCAATGTAGAGGAGCTATAGCTATATTTCAACTAGGGCTGTCAAGTTAACGCGTTAATAACGCGTTAACGCAAAAAAAAATTAACGCCACTAATTATTTTAACGCGATTAACGCATGTGTATTTTTTGTCCTCGGCCGCCGTAGTTTCAGAGCGCATCGAGTGTAAAATACCATCTACAAGCTGATGCTGACAGCCCCGCTCCTGCCGCCCGCTTGTGGCAGACCACACTTCCACGCTCACTGGCAGGCCCGGACTGGCCATCGGGAGGACCGGGAGGGAGTGTGTATGTGTGGCGCGACTCGCGCGAGCGAGGCACACCTTACGTGTTGTTGTTGTTAGCATCTGGTGCTAGCTAGCTGCGCTAACGGATATAAGGAGCTGTTTCAATGACATTTCGCCGACAACTGCGCCGAGCACTTGACTTTATGCAGGTAGCCAGACAGTGGGACATTGTACGAAAAGTCAGCACACGTTTGCATGATTGCAGCGTCCAGGCAGCTCCCGTTCGAACATATATGCCTTGAGCTGCACATAGCTCCAACGATCCATCACAGTGTCTCTCTCTCGCTCTCCACACACACACACACACACACACACACACACACACACACACACACACACACACACACACACACACACACACACACACACACACACACACACACACACACACACACACACACACACACACACACACACTGTATTATTGCATGAGAGAGGTTCCAGGTTGAATTGAGGCGAATATTTGTAATGTTCAGAGGTTGTTGTGTTTAATATTCATGAGTATATTTGTCATTGTTCAAATGATAATAAACAAACATATAAAGCATATTTGTCCACTCATATGTTGATAAGAGTATTAAAAACTTGAAAGATATCCCTCTAAGGTACATTTAGAACAGATAAAAAATGTGCGATTAATTTGCGATTAATCGCGATTAACTATGGACAATCATGCGATTAATCGCGATTAAATATTTTAATCGACTGACAGCCCTAATTTCAACACATATATCCACGAAGATTAATACATGAAGACTTGTGACTCAAGGTCAAGGTTCTTTATTAGTCATACAACCATAGCTACAGAGTAGTTATGTCGATGAAATTCTTCTCGGACTTGACTTGGACTCTTCTTAGGTGACTCGGACTTGGACTCGGACTCGAACACAGGTAATGATGACTCGGACTCAGACTCGACTCGGACACTCCTTGGGTGACTCGGACTTGGACTCGAACACAGGTAATGATGACTCGGACTCGGACTCGACTCGGACACTCCTTGGGTGACTCGGACTTGGACTCGGACTCGAACACAGGTAATGATGACTCGGACTCTGACTCGACTCGGACATTCCTTGGGTGACTCGGACTTGGACTCGGACTCGACTACGACTCTCCCTTGGTGACTCAGACTTGGACTCGGACTCGAAGAGTGGTGACTCGAGAGTGACTTGGACTCGTGAAATGGTGACTTGACTAAAACACTGAATTAGTTCATGAGAACCTTTTTACCCCCTTTTCCGTCCTGCTAGAGAGCAGGTACTTTCGTGGGAGAAAAAGGTTCCTATGTCTGATTGGCTGGGCGGATTGCAAACCACGCCCCGTAAAACTCCCAAAACGTTTTGTGAAGCCGCCATTTTATTATCCTTGCATTAGCATTATTAGCATTAGCATTAGCCCAGCGCACAAACGCAGAGAGACTCATGGCAACACAAAAGAAAACATGGGAGCGGTGGAGATGAGGAGGTGTCGGCGTTCTGGCGATTTACAGTAGAAGCTGCTGGGAGTCCCAGCAGCTTCTACTGAAGCCAGTCGCCAACTCCGGGGACTTCCGGCCGGGGACTTCGGGTGGCAGTATACGCCGTGAAGTTGTTTGCGGCCTGCCAGTAAACCCAAAGCAGAAGAAGAAGAAGTGACGTCAGCGGTTTTATTTGCCTAATCCTCCCCCAGGGACTTATTCCGGTGTGAACGCGATCTGTACTTAGTTCATGAGAACTAAAGAGTTGTCATGAACTAAGTTCTGGTGAACCTTTGTGGGAAAAGTACTGCGGTGTGAAAGCGCCTAATGGGACTGTGTGGAATTTGTATTTGCTTGTTTCATATGATTTTAAAACTTAAACTTTAGTGTTAAAGAAAATATCCCTTTATTTCATATTTTATTGTATTAAAAATGATTGTATCATTTGTGTGAAATTATCTTCATTAGCGTATGAATTTTTGAGAAGTGAATAAGAGACACACAGAATACCTGAAAACATAATAACTTAAAAAAACAACATAGATGAAAGAAACTAAGCATTTTGATTTGTGTGTTGCCAGGCTGACAACCCTCTGTTCCAGACGGCCACCACCACGGTGAGCAACCCCACCTTCACCGGAGAGTGAGACACACAGAGGTGCAGCGCTCACACAACACACAGCCATGTGTGTTTAGGGCAAGGTCATTTGTAATGCCCTTCGCAAATATTTATCAACTTGTGTTAATGTTGACACGCTGTCGTTCTTAAAGAGGCCCTATTCTGCTTTTTGGGTTTTTCCCTTTCCTGTAGTGTGTTCTAATGCAGGGGTTTTCAAAGTGTGGGAAGGTGAGCCTCCCCTCAGAGAACATAAGAACAGCCGCGCCCCCCCTCCCAATTATTATTGCTATTATTATTATTATTGTTGTTGTTGCTATAATGCAGGGGTATTCAATTGCATTTCAAAGAGATCCAGTAAGAGAAAATGTCATTAAATGCTCTGTTTTCGCTGTCGACCTTCCGCCATTTGAAATTACTCCGACTGCTTCTCTCCTCTTGTCTCGTCTCTGTGTGTGTGTTTGAATCTATCGTGCTGACTCACTGACTGCACCGATTTGATTGGCTGAGTAGCGTCACCTCCTTAAAACATTAAACAATAACTTTTTTAAACCTTTTATCTTTATGTTTTAAACATATTGTATAAAACTCCCCCACTAGCCTACTTGGACTATTCCTTGCACCCCTCTAGAATAAGCCTGAATGGTCTCAACAACCATATTGCATCAGTAACGTGCACTTGTTGTTATAACAAGATCGCAAGGACACTGGTAGCGATCGGACAATTGAGTGTTGTTCAGTTTGTGTGTTGTGGAACATGCGTGTGCGTGCATGAAAATATACCACACACCCAATTACAATTGCATGTTCAATTCACTACCCTGGAAGTTAATAAAGTTGTTAAAGTTGGAACAGCCTGTGGACAGCCATTCTTCCTTGCATGTCAGTCGCCAACACCTTCTTACAGAGGACAGGCAACTCTAGCTGCAGCACGACCCGTATATTTTCGCACACTGTGTTTTCAACACATATTTTTTTAACATTTTTTAACATTTTCAACATCGTGGATAAATCCTTATATGCTCCCGGCAACACACTGAACGTCAACTTTGCCTCCTTATTACACTCACCCCTACTTTAGTGGGAACAATGAGTCTGCGTCTTTGATGCACACAGGAATAAACGCAGATCATCCTCTGGCTGCAGCCTTGACCGGCACTTGCTTTTGATCAAAGTCAATGCGGAAAACCCGCACCCACACAGGTAGGTGGAGGTGAAGGGAATGAGCACTTTTACAGCCTTTTTGGCGAGGTGGGGGAACTCAGTCTCCACGGACAGCCAAAAGTGTGCAAGTGTCACTTTACTCATCTTTTTCTCGTTCTTTTTTTTCTCTCACGCTGCGCCTCCCCTGAAGCTCTGTGGCGCCCCCCAGGGGAGGCGCGCCTCACACTTTGAAAACCACTGTTCTAATGGATTTTAAATAAATGTAATCCCTGTGTTCCCTCCAGAGGGAGTTTCTCTCCCACAGCTGTTATTATCTGAGGGGGGCAGAAAAGCAACATTCATGCATCAGTCTCATTCTAGTCACCCAGACAGATTCACTGTATATCCTCAGGTCCTGAGTAGAGAGAGTCTGACAGGACGTTGTTACTGGGAGGTGGAGCGGAGAGAGGGAAGAGTATTTGTAGCAGTCGCATACAAGAATACCATCAAAGCAGGGGGTGAAAGTTTATTTGGATTCGATGACAAGTCTTGGGCGGTAGATTGCGACCAAAACAGTTATACATTTCGTTACAGCAGAATCAACACTCCCGTCTCAGGTCCTCGGTCCTCCAGAGTAGGAGTGTACCTGGATCACAGAGCAGGTATTCTGTCCTTCTACAGCATCTCTGAAACCATGACTCTCCTCCACAGAGTCCAGACCACATTCACTCAGCCGCTACATGCTGGAGTTTTGCTTTGTTATGGTTTAGGAGCCACAGCTGAGTTGTGTAAACTGAAATAGGCTGAAGTCATTTGAGGAACTCTTCTACTTCTTAAACTCATTGTGTGTCCATCATTGTTGCTGAGAGCTGATTGTTCATGTCTTCACTGCACAGAGATCAGCTGTCAATCAAACATTATGGGATGTGCTTTAACATCTTCTCATGAGTTGTTCTGTAGATGTTGGAGTTTCTTTAGGCGGCGCTCCTTCCTGTGTCTGTTTAGCCATGGAGGCTGTCTCTGCTCAGGAGGATTTCTGTTAACCTCAACTCATATTTCTCTGCATGGAAATGTAAACTTTTCTCTAAATATTTGTTGAATATCGTTATTGATGTATTTGTATGTTGTTGTTTCTCTTGTAAAGCATGAGTCTTTAGAGAGAAAGCACCAGAGCTTCTTTCATTTTAGATATTTTTCTCTGAAAGTCTTTTATTTTTGACTAAGTCTCAATGTGTTGAATGCATAAATGAAAGTTTGAATAATGAAACAACACACATTAAAAGAAAACTCATAAAAAAGAAAAGCTAACAGGTTAAGTTTGTAATAAATTGTGTTTCTATTTTCAACATATGAGATCAGTGCCATATTTACATGTCCGGAAAAAATGTAATGCTTGGGTTTTTCTTGTTAATAAAAGAGTTAAGAGGACAAAAGTCTTTCTATTTTTTTATTATAAAAATAACTATAACTTATTTTTCGGAAATAAAATATTTGCATTTTCATATATTTTATTTATTTTTAGGATTAAGAAAACATTACCTTTTTGCTAATGCAGCTCTTTCAGTAAACCCTGCACATGTTTCGTCAGGTTGGTGTAGATGTTTCTTACACACTACAGGAAAGGGAACCCCAAAAAGCTTAATAGGGCTTCTTTAAGTCTTGCTGCCATACTATAAATCCCACCATACATAAAGGACTTTAAAGACTCACACTCGCCCTTTAAATGTGATTGATTTGGATTCCTTCTTGATTCTCCAGCTCTTACTCACAGCTCAGTTCGATCCGGATGAAGTCTTTTGGCGCATTTCCACTGCAGGGCCTCGTACGGTATGGTTAGGCCTTGGTAGGCCAGGCTCACTTTATGCTGCGTTTCCATTGCAGTTTAGGAACTGGGGTAGTAACTATAGTAACGCAGTGTAGGCGGAGCCGTGACGTCATCTTCAATGCGAAACACAAAACCAACATCAGCCGTTAGCTGTTAGCCCTCAGAGCTCACAGCTCCTCATATCTGTACAGAAACTAGACCAAAGTTAAACAAGTACAAACCACAGACTGCCTGTGTCATGGCGAATACAGTCGCTGGTTTATTTATGTCTGTATAGGCCGTTGTTGTGAGTGTGGACGGTCGGAGCATTTACATTGTTAGCTTAGCCAATCTCCATTCAGAAAACACGCATTATAAAAGGTTTTTCGCCTGCCGTCTGTCTGCTGACTTGTCAAAGCATTAATTCATGGTTTTTACTAACCGGTATCAGTCTGTTGTTACTCCTGCATCATTTTGAAACGTGTATTACAATTAAATCACGGTAAAATATGTTCATTCTGTTGTAGTTGCCAGCGATTCTCTCACTAGTTTAGCATACTCAGCCCGGTTGTTGGCCTGGAAAGAACCGATTTTGGAGAGCCAGAAAACTGAAAAAGTACCCGCTAGCCGGAACTACGCCGAGTGGAAACTTAACCAAAAACGGGCCGGGCATGGCACGCTTAAACCGCGCTCCGCGCTGTAGTGGAAATGCGCCATTTGATGCCCAGGTTCTCCAGGAACACACCGGAGGAGGCGGTGGTTTTAAACAGGAAGGAGATATGCATGCTCAGCTCTCCGTGGAAGGTCGGGAGGGGAGGTACGACGGCCCAATCCCAAACCACGCCCTACATCCTACCCCTACACACTACCCCTCCGTTCGCGCGGAGGGTCCGCCACATTAAGTGCTGTTCCAAACCAACGAGTGTGGAGAGGTGTGGAGGCGGAGTGGAGGGGGAGTGGGTTATCAAGCCCTCAAACAGCGAGTCTGCAGCGGTGCTGACTGGAGACCGGTCACTACCTGACCGGAGTCAACGCTGTGTGTGTCTGTCAGGAAACAAGCTATTTACAAATAGTTCCAGCAAACATCCACTGATAAATTGCGATGTTAACAACCTCATGATAACCTCATATGTTTTTAACTTAGGATCATACCTGTGTTTAGTCTAGAAAAAGGTAAATGTGTGCATTTTATTATAAAGTTGTGTATATTTACAGACTGTTGCAAAAACTAAGAACCTTATAAAAATCTGGTTTAAATCTAAAAGAGCTTTACAAAAAAGTAACACAATTTAAGATGTTTGGAGTTTTATTTTAGTTATTAATTTAAATGTTTTGTCAAAGAGATGCTGATTTGAAACCGTTGATACAGTTACGGCATTTCCTGTTTCTGCCAGAGAGAGGGGAGTTTGTCCCAAAGCTTGCCGCTGTATTTACTCCCTCCATCTGACAGGAGGGAGCCTCGTTGAGCTGTGAGTGTCACTTCACGGAGTTCACTCCGTCACGGAGGGGGAGTATGTAGGGGTAGGGTGTAGAGCGTGGTTTGGGATTGGGCCGACGTCTCCTTGTCGAAAAACGCAGCGTTCCAGAAGTTCTCTGAGATAAGGCAATGAAAACTCCTGGTCAAGATTACTAAGATTAAAAAATGTCTCAAATTGGGATCATTAAAGTAATATCTTATCTTATCTAAATAAATGGAAAAACGCCGGCTTACGTATTGTAACCCTTGTTATATTAAAGGTGGGGGAGGTAATTTTGGAGAAACCAGCTCGAGTGCGCTAGAATTTGAAAAAACCGGAAAAAATCTGCCACTTCCTTACAGAGCCCCTCCTCCAACACACACGAACGCGCACATGACCAATGAGGGCACGAGATAAGTTTGTGCACAGATGGAAGGCTGACAGGCAGGTAGGCCATCCAGTTATATTCGTTTGCTATCGGGATGTTTTGAGCATTCCATGGAATATAACAAAAATTATAAAACGGACAAGCCAAATCAAGCAATCTGATTGGTTCTTAGCCGTGATATACTGAGCGTATACCACGGGTAGAATTGTAAGTTACTTTTCACAACAAGTCAGTATCCCTCCGCGTCTGAGAAAAACTGTATACAGTTGGGCTGAAAAGCAAACTGCCTGCAGTTTGCTTTTCAAACTGGAACAAGAAAGCAGCGGAGAAGTAACGGGGCAGAAACCCTCGTTTTTACGCAGCGGTCCAGACATAGACATCAAACGGCAAAAACATATTCAGTGTGCAGCTCCTTTGGCATTAGGGCAGGGATATTTAGATACTTTCCAAGGTTTGACATA